CCTGGCTAGCCATTTCCTATATATTTTATGGCTTCTCTTCTTCCTAAGACCCAGCTATTTTTGCCTACATATTTCCTTTACATCCTTTCTTTATGTTATCTCTTCCTGAATCTCACCATTTGTTTCTATGTAATTAGCTTCCATTGTTTTGTAGGTTTAACTGACTCTGAAGATTTATCATATTGATGCATATTTATCACCACTATCCAGGTACTCACATGTCCTTTTCCTGGACTTTCCTTTGGAACAAATAAGGAAACTATTTGTTCATATTTGGAACATTCTTCCCTTATGTCATCCACTACATCTGCAAAAAAAAAAAAAAAAAAAAGACAACCAAAATTGAAACTCAAAGAGTCTGGGTATTTTAACTAGATACTATACTAAATACTGTATACAATATTGTTGCAGATCACCACAGGAAGGGCAAAACTAAATCAATACATTAAATGATTATATTTTATATAGTAATATACAAAGCATATCACTTGACATATAAATCAATACTAGGCTTCGTGACCATTTTTTCTATTATTAACCAAGATATAGTAAAAGTGATGCTGAGAATATGCTGAGAGGCTTTCCTTGGCATTTGTCACTTTCCTTGTGTCCTGCTACATTCATTTTCTCAGAATGGAAAAGAAAGATTTATAGAAGTGAAGGAAAGTTTTGAATACCTTTTTTGATTCAAGTCTCTCCCAGTAAATAATGTGTCATGATTCCAATAGATGAAACTAGTAAAAGCAGAACTCCAAGGCTAGAGGTTTCCTTAAAGAACATGTTTATTGGCTACAGAATATTGGCAGTCAAAAGTGAAACCAAGTCTGGAGTTCCCTCCAAAGTGTTACAATGTTACAAAGTTGAACTTCCCACCCAAGCACTATGTTCCCCAACAGAATTCTTTGGCGGGCTTTCTAACGGAAGGCTCAGCCCACCAAATTCCCAGGCAGCGATGACCTTGGCTCCCATAGGACAAGATATTGTTTAGGCTAACATTAAAATCACCTATGCCCCCTCCCAGTCCTGTGGCAACCGAAAACAAAACAAAATGGCTTCAGCCAGCATCGTTGCAGTGTTGACATAATGGACATCTATGGAAGAGCCATATGTCAGGCTTGCATGTTGTATTCATATTTTGCTTAGAATGCAAAAATATATCAATTATGACAAGACCCAAACTGATAGCTTATGTACTTGGAGAACTGCACATACAAGTATATCTGAGTCCCTGCAGAGTCAGAAATTCTACAAATAGTTTCTAAAAGATTCCTCTCCTCAGTTAAAATGACTAAAAGTAGCACTGCACAAGCTCCACCCCTTTTATACAAGTGTGCAACCTGGGTATGGTGCTACTCTCATTATTCTGCTCACTTTGTGATGGCACACCACTTTCCTAAAAAGGCCTGAAAAACTGGACAAGTTCTAATCAAAAGCAACTTTAATACTCAGATTTTATAAACCTGGAATATAGAGGATAAAAAGTCATTCCTCCCCCTCCCAGCAACCACCTATATCTTGGAGGCCATAGGATGTTTCAGTTTTTCTTTTCTCCTCTAAACACTGACAATTAATGTGATTTGATGTCAAATAACTGTTTCTCAAGAAGCCTCTGAAACTGATGGCACCTTCATACAAGACCTCTGCATCCCTTTAAAATTAGCTAGACTTGTACAACATTGGCTGGTTCTGAAAAGTAAAGGTACGTAAAGGAAGTAAAGATCAATCCTTGTTGACCATGATCACTATTGTCTTGGCAACAACATGGAGATTTACTGCCTTCTTTTAGAATGTTTTTAATATCACAGTCTAGCCTTCAGATATTTCCTGATCATCTCCCATCCAAACACTAACCTAGTCTGACATGGTTTAATTTTTTACAGCTGCTTTTTCCCCCTAGCACTGATGTGCTTTATTTGAGCTAAGTCATGTTTATTTTGCTTGCTATGGTTTTGCTGAATATATAGGTAGCCTGCTTTCCCACTGGCTGGAATTTTTGTCATTAATGGGACTTAAAGCAATTAAGTACACGTTTACAGGGCAAGTCAGTTCATTACTCTTGAATTTGTAACTGTGTTCCTTAAAGTAATCTCATTCTATCTACAGTGACTCCTGAACTTGGAAGTGCCCCAAAGAGTCATTTTTTGTGATAGCATTTGTGCATATCTTTTTTGTCACTAAATTCATGGCTGTTTGCTTTTAAAATGCTAATTCCAAAACATATAGCTAGTTTATTAAAAGCCTGTGTATATGTCTCCTAGTTATAGTTCTAACTCTACAAGTAACCATCTGATAGACTGTCATGGCTGCCATTCTGCTAGCCAAGCATCACAAGCTGACAGCCTGACATTAGCAATGGGAGGAGGGAAGAGAAGATTGGAATGCAGAGAGAAATTAGGGGGGGAATGGAAACCAAGCCGTGGTGGCCCGAGGCATGAGAAACATCAGCCAGCCCAAGGTTACTCGTCAGAATGCAGAGCTGGAAAGGCACTGAAGGTCCATTACCCAAACAATATACAAGTATCCAACTGGACATGAACTGATATCAAGGGGATGGCCAGGGAAAAGGGAAAGCTAATTGTATTGTTTTGTGTGCCAAAATGCCAGATCCAGCTTCGCTACTTCTGTAATCATGTAAGCCTTGGTATACTCTTGGTAAAACAAAAAGGCAGGAGATGATTGAGTGGTACAGTTGACATGGACATTCTATATATCCAATTATAAGAAATGAGGCTGCTAGTTCATACACTTTGTGATAGGTAAGAAATAGCTGGGTGGAGTGGTTAAAACAATATAACAATCAATAAAGGTTCCACTCCACCTTGCCCCCTGCCAATGTTTTAAATGCTGGCGTAACTAAAATATGACATTATAGATATTTGTTGATCTGCATCAGGCAGCAAGATCCTTTGGGCAAAATTGTTCTTACATTGACACATTTTTGTACTGTCTGAACTTTGGCTAGAGAGGTGAATCCAAACTTGTTGCTCATTAGTGGACCTCTCAAGCTACAACTAGAAACACTCGTAATACAAACTATAGCTTGTAGTATTATATAAGCTATATTTCCCTCAGCTAACATAAAGAACCACTATCAATATGGTAATTTTTGGATCCTTGGATCATAGGTAACTGAAAAGGGTTACCAAATAATCAGACAGTTTGACAATTACCACATAGAGAACAGTTACAATATTTAGGACTATTTAGTTTAGGAAAAAATATGAATAAGAGTGCAACAGAGGGGTACAGGATTGTGAATGGTATGAAAAAGTTAATAAAATGGCTATTTTACAAAATTCATTTCATGATCAACAAAGTGCCCCTTCTTCATGGTCACCTCTTTGGGGCAACTTCAGACCCATTTATGGTCCCCCTGGCAGGGCAAAACTGGCCATGGGGAACGGAGCTCCTCTATCTTGCAGCCATGTGTTATGGCGCAAAACTGAAAGTCCATACTTATTCCTTCTTGTTCACTACCATTTTAAGTTACTTGTATGCTTTGACTCTCTGATACTTCGAACAGACTGTGGTTAGCATGTTTCCTTCTATTCTACACAATATAAGTAGCTACAGTGAAAAAATACATAATTTTTTTTAGAAACAAATGAGAAAACCAAAACTCACTAACATTATTTTTTCCTCAATTTTTTAAATCCTTCAGGAGAAGACAAAATCAAAAAGACTTTGGAAACAGTTAATCTTGTCCCTTGTTGTTATTGTTAGTTGCGAAGTTCGTGTCCGACCCATCGCGACCCCATGGACAACGTTCCTCCAGGCCTTCCTGTCTACCATCTTCTGGAGTCCATTTAAGCTCACACGTACTGCTTCAGTGACTCCATCCAGCCACCTCATTCTCTGTCGTCCCCTTCTTCTATTGCCCTCAATCTTTCCCAGCATTAGGCTCTTCTCCAGTGGGTCCTTCTTTCTCATTAGGTGGCCAAAGTACTTGAGTTTCAACTTCAGGATCTGGCCTTCTAAAGAGCAGTTGGGGTTGATCTCCTCTAGGACTGACCGGTTTGATCGCCTTGCAGTCCAGGGGACTCGCAGGAGTCTTCTCCAGCACCATAGTGAAAAGGCCTCAATTCTTTTGCGCTCAGCCTTTCTTATGGTCCAACTTTCACAGCCATACATTGCAACTGGGAAAACCATGGCCTTGACTATACGTACTTTTGTTGGAAGGGTGATGTCTCTGCTTTTTAGTATGCTGTCTAGATTTGCCATAGCTTTCCTCCCCAGGAGCAAACGTTTTTTAATTTCTTGGCTGCAGTCCCCATCTGTGGTGATCTTGGAGCCCAGGAAGATAACATCTGTCACTACCTCCATTTCTTCCCCATCTATTTGCCAGGAATTGAGAGGGCCAGATGCCATGATCTTGGTTTTCTTAATGTTGAATTTCAAGCCAACTTTTGAACTCTCCTTCTTCACCCGCATCAAGAGGCTCTTTAGTTCCTCTTCACTTTCTGCCATTAGAATGGTATCATCTGCATATCTTAGGTTGTTGATATTTCTCCCGGCAAACTTAATTCCAACTTTTGATTCATCTAGCCCTGCCTTTCTCATGATGTTCTCTGCATATAAGTTAAATAGACAGGGCGACAGCCTTGCCAGACTCCTTTCCCAATTTTGAACCAATCAGTGATTCTGTTTCCAGTTCTCACTGTTGCTTCTTGACCCACATATAGGTTTCTCAAGAGACAAATAAGATGGGCTGGTACTCCCATCTCTTTAAGAACTTGCCACAATTTGTTGTGCTCCACACAATCAAAGGCTTTAGTATAGTCAATGAAGCAGAAGTAGATGTTTTTCTGGAACTCCCTAGCTTTCTCCGTGATCCAGCATATGTCGGCAATTTGATCTCTAGTTCCTCTTCGAAATCCTGCCTGTAGTTCTGGAAGTTCTCGATCCACATACTGCTGAAGTCTAGCTTGTAGGATTTTAAGCATAACTTTACTTACATGTAAATTGAGTGCAATGGTGCGATAGTTTGAACATTTTTTGGCATTGCCTTTCTTTGGAATTGGAATGTAAACTGACCTTTTCCAATCCTGTGGTCACTGTTGAGTTTTCCAAATTTGCTGGCAAATTGAGTGTAGCACTTTTACTGCATGATCTTTTAAACTCAGCTGGAATACTGTCTTTGTTGTTGCTCAGCTTTCCTAAGGCCCATTTCACTTCACATTCTAGGATGTCTGGCTTGAGGTCAGTGACCACCCCATCGTGGTTATCAGGGATGCTAAGCTCGTTCTTGTATAGTTATTCTGTATAATGTTGCCACCTCTTCTTAATCTCTTCTGCCTCTGTTAGGTC